CTCCACCCTAGCGCGCCTCGGGGTCAACCGTTCGAAAACACTGTAAATATCAGTGTTTTCAGCTCTTCCAGTCCTCAGCAGTGACCAAAAATCATGGAATTTACAGCGTTTTTTGTGGCTGTCCGGCAAAAAACACCGCAAAAACCGATGGTTTTTGATGCGTCTCGGTTAGAAAAATGACCGAAAAAAGACCAAAAACCAGGAAAGATTTTGTCAGAAAGGGTTTTTGAGGCTTTTGGAGGCTTCAAAATTGCACAAAACTATGGTATTTACAGGGTTTTGTGCACCTTCCCGGCAGAAAACGCCGGTATTTACACGGTTTTCTGCGCTTTTCCAGCGCTCAACCGTGGTGCGCCTTTGGATCGACGGCTACAAAATACCGTAAATACCAGTGTTTTCAGCTCCTCCTGTCTTCAAGCGTGGCCTTAGACCTTGCCGCGGCTGTGGATCGACGGCAACGAAACCTCGTAAATACCAGTGTTTTTGAGCACGTCCTGTTTGCAAGCATGGCCTGCGGCCACGCAATTTACAGGGTCGCCGCACGTCACTATGTAAATCCGAAGTTGCAGTTGAGAAATATGTGACTCCTTTTGAAGGCACGTCAACCTGTATTGAAGCCGCTAGACCGCTACAGCTTCTGGAGGTTTTGTCAAGCGCTTGTGCATTAGCTTTTCTTTCATCACGCTCACTCACTTCTCTTCAAACAAGTGGGGGGCCTCTCACCTCCTCCCGGATTACGCCTGATTCCCTGCTACCTTTCGTTCACCACCCTCCTCTCTCAAGTACTTGACTGTGCCAACCAATCATCCCAAGAAGCCAAGCGTCACCAACAGCACACTCTTTGACTCTTTGACTGCATTTGACTTACACCTGGTTGTAGTAACATCGCCTTCACCTGTTCAATGCATGTCACCTCTCAATCTCGTGTTTTGACATGTGAGTGATTGTGCATTCATATTTTTTTGTATTTTTTTGTTGGTGTGTATCCTGCACGCTTCAAGTACTGAAGTCATCGTTGTGGTGGTGGCGGTGGTGGCGGTGGCCGTAGTCAGTACAAGTAGATGCATAATCAAAAGGATCAGTAGCAATGGTAGCAGTGGTAGCAGTAGCAGTAGCAGTCGTCGTCGTCGTCGTCGTCCTGGTCGTGGTCATGGTCGTGGTCGTGGTCGTGGTAGTAGTAGGTACTAGGAGGTAGTAGTAGATAGTAGGTAGTTGTAGTAGCATGTAGTAGTAGTAGTGGTGGTGGTGGTGGTGGTAGTAGTAGGCAGTAGTAGGTAGTAGTAGATAGTAGTAGATAGTAGTGGCAGGTAGTAGAAGGTAGTGGTAGGTGGTAGTAGGTAGTAGTAGGTGGTAGTAGGTAGTAGTACTGTAGGTAGTAGTAGGTAGTAGTACTGTAGGTAGTAGTAGGTAGTAGTAGGTAGTAGGTAGTAGGTAGTAGGTAGTAGGTAGTAGTTAGTAGTTAGTAGTTAGTAGTTAGTAGTTAGTAGTTAGTAGT